ATGTGTCGATACGAGGCTTAGTTTAACGAAGTATTGTGACCCTTAATACAGTCTACTCATTTGTTGTCCAACGACAAATCAACTTGTCACAGTAGAAGTAAATGGTCAAGGTATTTTTGGATGAATGCCATTTGTTTATTTTTCCTTATCTTAACGAAATATTGTACCTCTATAGGTTTATGACCTATAGAGGTTTATCTTTCATTCATGTGTTTCCCAAAGACAAATGCAACTGGGTTACTTCTTTGCGATCAACCTTATGGCTTAGCCGGCGATCAAGGTCTTTGTGGTGTCGATATGCCCTAGTTCATCGAAGCACTGTGATCCAAAATGCACTTCATGACATCCTTCATTTGTTTCCAATGTTAAACCTGGTTTCTTGTCTCCAATGAACCTTGGGGCAGTAGAAGTCATTTTGTTTTTGGTTGCGATGCCTTTGTCTTTCCTTATATCCAAAAAACTCTTGTGCCACTTTATGAAGAGTGTAGCATCATTTATTATTCTTTTGTTGGCCAATGACAAATCAAACTTAGTTACTTATCTCCAATGCTGGGCTGAAGAAGTCAATAGTCAATATTTTGGGGGGATGAATGTGATGTCTTTATCTTTCCGTGAATTAACGAACTCTCGTGCCCCTTTGTGGCATCATTCGTCATTCATCCGTTTCCCATGAAACGACAGATCAAAACTGGGTTACTTGTACCCAATCACCTTTGCGGTGATCAAGGTGTTCCAGAGATCGATATAATCGATATCAGTCTCAGCCGGGAAGGTCACCCCGCTAGGAAAGGTCACCCTTCTGCTGGTGCGGTACTCAGGTGGGGATTACTGTCGTCATGGATGGGTGATGGCTAGGCTAGTCATTTCATGTTTTTGTGTTTTAGTTTTTTCCTGAAATTCATGAAATGTTTTGAATTTAATTTGTGCAAATTTTGGTTGTGATCACTGAAACGCACGCTTATATCTCCTCTTTTGCATAATGTATATGTACTACTACAAATGTAGTATAAAATTTCATGCACATATGTTTATGTGTTTAATGAACATTGGAAGAAGGTACTTGATACTTATAGGTATCCTCTGCTCATTAAACAATAAAATGACAACAATATCGACAGTGTTGAGGTAATAATCATAAAGGTAATATACAAATTCAAATTTACAAGCAAAGTAACAAATCTAGGTACTACATGTAGGTATATCAACATCGTAAAATATGTTATACATGTGGCTGGCGTACCAACATAAATGATCTGCACATATTTTCTAGTGTGGGAAATAAAGCTGAAAGCAATGCCAATGTCGAAAATGTAGTTCATCCCCCTCCCCCATTTCATTGGCATGTCGTGCGTGTAACGGTTCCGCTTTAGATTTCATTTTAAGCGTCCACAGTCTACCAGGCAATTTGGCCCAGTTGTACTCAGAATTTCAATGTGTAGCAGTCAAATATATTTCTGTCTGATTTCTGACCTTCCATTAGAAACTTGCTAAGGTAATTTTTTTTCTTTGATTAAAAGGAAGTGTACGAATGGGCTAACAGGAAAATTATTCATCTAAAACCTTGCATTTGTGTCTAATTTATTTATTCATTGGCAAATGTTACAGTACGTTGCACTGACGTTCAGGCAGCAGCGTAAAGCAACAATTATAGAGACAAAGTATAGTACAAATACGCAGTGTGTTTTGATTAGCCTCCTGCAGGTCTCCCTAAAGGGTTATGGATAGCACCTAGAACTCGGCAGAAATACTCCAGATAATTGGCCAGGAGAGTGGGCCCACAGTTACAAGGGTAAAATTTGCTAGTAAATGAGTCCCTAGCTATCACTGCCAAACTTCTTTGGCAAAGCTTTCTCCCAATTTGGCTAAATCTATTTTTCAACCGGCGTTGTAAGTAAGTCTAGTGAAGAGTATATTTACACCTCGATGAAGGTTAGACATCCAGTTAATGAGAGACGCAAGAAAACAGTTACTCAAGCGATTTGGTGGATTTTGAAAGCTGTCAGACGATTCAACTAGCATCCACTACTATACGTCGGTGAAGCTTAGACATCCAGGTAATAAGATACGCCAAACACAGTTACTCGAGCAACTGGATATGATTTTGAAAGCTGTCAGACGATTCAAGTACCATCTCCTACTTTTCGCGAGGGTCTAAATCTCCCAGTACCGGACAATTATAGTTTTTAATTATCTATTTGTAGATACCTCTGATCTATATTTATAACTGTGTACAGCTAGTATTTGTTTATGTTTGTACCTAGTTTGTCAATGTCCTTTGTTTGTTTAGCTGACCTTATTGTTTAATCTGTTTTTAAATCCTGAGTACGCAATTGAGCGCTTTTATACGCTGCCATGTACCCGGAGTGTTGTCAATAAACTATTATGAATATAATGAAAAGTAGTGGGAGCTATTTGAAACGTCTGACAGTTTTCGTTGCTTGAGTAACAGTTTTCTCGTATATATTTATACCACAACTTTCCCCACACAGTACCTTGTTGAGGACAATAATTATTATAAACCTTACTCCATAAATCTCCCGTCCCTTCCTCCCATTTACTTGTCTGACTGTAGGAAATGAAATATCGTCTTAGCCGGTTCACTGGGAAACCAATTACATGCCTGGCTGGGCGGACCGCAGATGTTTGAGGAAACGCTTTTTAAAACTAACGAGCACGGTACAGGGTACAAATGGAGAAGAAAAAAAAACATATTTTGAATTTTTTTCACATTTTCGTTTATGGAATTATTATTATCATTGTGGAAGATGTCATTGTTTTCGTTTTTACAATCCTTGTATGTTTCAAGACGTTTTTGTTGGTTTTTGGGTCAAAGTCGTCGTATGAATGTTTTTGGAGATCTGTATAGAATGTGTCATCATATTAGTTTTGTAGAATCCTTGTATATTCAAAGATGTTGATGTAGCTTTTTGGGGCAATGGATTTGAAAAATCAAAAGTCGTCATATTAGATTTAGATGATTTTATTGCAGATCTGTAAAGAATATGTCATCATGTTGGTTTTGTACAATCCTTGTATATTTCAAGACTTATATGTTGCTTTTTTGGGCAATGTAACTGAAATATTAAAAAGACAATTCGTCATATTAGGTTTCTAATCTATATCCTCTGCCAGGGCGTAATGCTTTTCATTTATGTGTAGATTATGCCCAATGTACCGTGTCATTTCTCTGTAAGTATTCATTGATATCATGGCGCCGGTTTCTCATCACATAAGCCTCGCCATTCTTCGTTTAGATTGGGGAATTATGTGTCATACAGAAACGGAATCAGCTAGCAGTCTGTGCGAAGAAACTGGCGTACGGTCTAAGTTTGGAGCTGCAAGGCAAACGTTACTGTCTGGCTGTTTTTAAATAGTTTGATTTAATGTTTATATCACTCCTTTACTTTAATATTGCCTGAGTACTATTTAGATAGCTGCCAAGTATGATACGTTGGATGTGGTCACCAGATCACCATAAGAAATCTGTTTATATGTGAGGTGAAGAAAAATTGTTTGACGTCTGTCTTCTAGATGTCCATGGCTTCAAAAATCATTGGAAATCGTAAACGATTCCACAATTCACTTTATGCTGAGGTCACAATGCCAACTCCGGAGCTCGGCCGGGGAGTTTGGGGGGAAACACAAAATATTATATTTTACAGGGCCCCACTGCAAAGCAAGTGCTTAGCCACTGAGAGGGTCACCCTGGCTAAAGAAAACAGAATAAAATCTTTAAAAAAACGATATAAAAGACAATAAAACACAGAAAAGGTGAAAATAATCAATCTTGAGCACAATTCATGTACAATCTTCATATGAACTACACAGTATCTATTTTTGGTTCACGCAAACAGCCCTGCCGGGCCCCGGTTTGGTGGTGTGACCTTAGCATTTAATTTGAGAACTGTTCACAGCGTTGGGATGAGGCACTGGGGAATATCACAGTAGATGATGACATACGATACGGCTTCACCTCTGTTAAAGGCTGCAGCAGCTCTGTCCTCTGCGGAACCTCTTCATCAAGATTTGTCTGATTTTACTGAATATTTCATACAGTACGTACAGATGATGGATTGTCTGAGGGATCCTGTGTCGTCGCGAGACTCCCAACGCTATCAGAACTACACTGACGATTATATAGCTCTACATAAAGTCTATCCGGCAATACTTTAAGTGGATGATTATTCATCGAGATGTTAAAGCAAAGGCGTCAATGATATATAGAGCACAGAAATTTTGTAGTACGCTTTTTAAGACATTTTTAGCCTCATCACAGGTAATAAGGACATAACTGAAATCTTGTGAAAGAATATAGACTACCATAGCTATCAGAACTATACTGCCGGTTATTTAGTTCTATGGTAAAGTCTATCCGACAATACTTTAAGTGGATGATTTTTCATCGAAGTGTTAAAGTCATCCGGTGCGATTTCAGGGAGGCAATGCAGAAGTATTTTGAATGAGGAAATCTTTCTAACGTTGGCATTTACTGACATTTCTTAGCATAATTTCCTCATCATTTTATACTCGAAGTGTTCGAGATATCCTACAAGATACGTGAGGCGTCATCATTTCATACTTGAAGCGCTTGAAATATCCTAAGCGTCTCTTTAGTTTTGCTCAGAGTTATCTTATGGATTAATTGAGACTATCCACATATGCCATGCTCTGTTTAAGTACATGTATCTTTTGAATTTGAGACTTTTTGTGGGGACAAAGAAACATTTGTCACACCTGGACTATTTGAAGACGATTTGGACTGCTGCTGTCTAGAATGCTGCCAGATCTCTATTCAGATTGCTGTTCCTTGCATACTTTTCCAATAAAGCCATTGTCATATTCTGATATCTATTGTGTAGTGATGTAAGACATTTTTCATACCTGGACTAGTTGAAGACGATTTAGAATGCTATCTTTGCTGTCCCTCGCAGGCAGTTTAAGACTATGCTTTATCTTTTGCATCAAAATGCATTTGCAAGAGATAAAGAAATGTGACATACCTGGACTACTTGAAGACGATTTGGAATGCTGCTGTCTGGAATGCTGCCCAGATTGCTGTCCAGGCTGCTGTCCGGATTGCTGTCCCTCCCGGTGCTGTCCGTCTCGGTGCTGTCTCTGCGGGCTGAGTTTCGGGTTCTGCTGGTATCCAGCCGGCGTGGCGCCCAGGCGCTGCTGGTAGGTCATGTTCTGTTGGTCGCTCTCCTGTTTCCTCTCTCGGGACGCGTTCCCTCCCCGGCTGCCCGTCCCGTGGCCCCGCTGCCTGATATTCGCGGCTACCGACCATGCCATGGTGTCTGCACGTACGGACCCGGCTGGGACTGGAGCTGTACAGCCGGTATTACACCAGTTTCTGTACCTGTATCTGTGTATCCGGTATAACCGTCCTTTGGCGTAACACACCAGCGAGCTTCTGTCTGTGCACTGTGTATAACCGTCCTTCCACGTAGCTTCTGTACCCGAATACCTCGTATAACCGTCCTTTGGCCTAACACACCAGCTTCTGTATCTGTACAGGCGGTATAACCGTCCTTCGGTGTAACACAGCAGCTTCTGTATCTGTATAGGCGTAACACACCAGCTTTGGTAACCTGTATCTGTGTAGCTGTCCTTCAGCGTGACACACCGGCTTCCGTCCCTGTATCTGTATGGTCGGTATAATCACCCTTCGGCAACCGGTATAACGGTCCTTCAGCGTAGCACACCAGTTCCTGTATCTGTGTAGCCGTCTGTCGTCGTAACACACCTGCTTCTGCACAAGAATCTGTAGATGTATAGCCGGTATAACTGCCCTTAAGAGTAACACACCAGCTTCTGTATCTGTATCTGAAGAGAATGAATAGCAGGTACGTCCGGCCGTCCTTCGGCACAGCTTCTGTACCTGTATAGCTGTCTAATGACCGTCCTTCTGCGTAACGCACCAGCTTCTGTATTTGTATCTACACACACCAGCTGCTGTATCTGTATAGCCGGTGTAAAACGTCCTTCGGCGTAACACACCAGCTTCGCAGGCACGCGGTTATATTACCCTGAACGATCTGTCTCGCCTAACCACTGCACACATCTAGCTGCAAGCGTCGTTTAAAGCTATCTGGCAATGAGGATAATCTTACTGCCATTGGTGGCAGCGAGTTCCACTCTACATACGAAACTGTGTCCGGGTGAGCAGCTAGTAGAAGAAGCAATTTTCTGGAAATCACCGTTTTCAAGCTGCCATCACGTCCGTACGTAGTATCACGTCCTAGGTATGCAGACAGGGTTGGAGGCAATACACAAGAGTCGTTTAAAGCTATCTAGCGTTGAGGATAACCTCACTGTACTTCTTGGCAGCGAGTTCCACTCTACATACACAAAGCTGTGGCCGGGTTAGCAGCTAGTAGAAGAAGCAATTTTCTGCAAATCACCGTTTCCAAGCTGCCATCACGTCCTAGGTATGCAGACAGGGTTGGAGGCAATACAAGAGGTAATCAGCCGCCATCCGCACACGGGCACATCTCTCTGTCGTCTGGGTCCGTTAACGCATTAACCGCGCATATAAAGAAGGCGCCTTCGGGCTGTCCGGACGTAAGAGGGTAACGAATTTGGCCCGGCTATTCCGGTGACGTGCGTCACGGTGACGTCAGAAGTACGTGGGCTGGGATCTCAGCGCCGTCGCGGCGTCGTCAGACGTAACGTCACCTGACGTCGCTACGCTGGCGTGAAACGTCTTCTGTTTTCTTCTCTTTTTGGATGAAAATTAATGAGATGGCAGCGTCGAAGGTACAGTTTGGATTGTTTGATCATTTCTTTGCTTGTTTGTTTGTTTGTTTGTTTGTTTGTTTGTTTGTTTGTTTGTCTTATTCAAAATCCCCATAATTGATACAAAATTGTATACTTTTCTTCCTGGAATCCTTGTTTACAATACAAACCATAGCTCTACATACAAAATATACAATAGACTAAAACTTAAGCAATGCAATATAAAACATAAATTACAATATCTTACATTACCTTACATTACAATTGTATGAACGGGTACCATTGCACATCATCCAATGCAACTTCCTCTTATGCAAATACATGCAACAACATAACCATAAGTTATAAGTTATAAGATTTGAGTGTGTCGTCACCAAGTGCTGTTTAATTAATATGGAAACAGCAAAAAAAACTAACTACTAGTGCGTCGGTGAAGGGTAGATGCCAAAAGAAAAAGCAGTTATTCAAGCAACTGATTTATCCAGTATCCAAATCATATCCAGTTGCTTGAGTAACTGTTATTTTTTGGCGTAACTACTAGTGCGTTTTAAACATGTCAGAGAAGGTTAGACATCCAGGTAAGAAGTCACTAAGAGACCAGAGGAGAAATGCAGGTTTATCCAGGTAATTAATAAGATAGGCCAAACCATTTCTCCTCTGGTCTCTTAGTGTCACTGACGAAAGCTAGTGAATGGTACCTGAAACGTCTGACCGTTTCCAAAATCATATCCAGTTGCTTGAGTATATATGTAACTGTTTTTTGGCGTTTTAAACATGGTTTCCTCTTAAGGCTACAGAATCCAGTGGCGCGGAACCCTTCCGCCAAATGAGAATTAATGAGCCGGCAGAGCCGACGTTACAAAACGTGAGATCGGGACGACAAGCTCAGAGCTCACAGGATAACCAAACCCCAGAGGAATCCACCAATAGAACCGAGGGTGTACCCACTATTACTCATTCTTATCAGACCCGTCCAACTCGCTTTCAATCCGCGGCAAATTTCGGCTGAATCCAACTTTTCAAAACGCTCATTGGCGGGATGAGGGTATGATTAGATTTTCTAAGATTGCCTCTGTGTGAATTTTAATTTATCGAGAAATCGATCATATTGTGGCCTTCCTTTTTTACGCTAAACCACGATCGCTGTGCGACATTTGAACGACCAAAAGCGGATTTGTGTGACCGTTGGTTTTATAATTTTGGTATGATACACAATGTTTAAATATCATCTAAACGACAACAAAACGTAGCCACTGTCAGGCTTCGGGAGGCGGCTGGAAATAGTAGAAATTGGCTAAATCGAAAGAGATAACATACCAGGGGAGTTGGTAGCTAAAGTATACTAGTAGTTTGCCGCACCCGAATAGCGGACCAACTCCCCTGGCCTGTTATCTCTCTTTTTTTGGCCAATTTCTACTCTTCCCAGTGGCCTCGAAAAGCCTGGTAAAGGCTAAACAAAACGCACAAAACGTGAAAAATGCTCTTCATATACTCGGTAATTCGTTGAGCGATCCATCAAACTTTAGTCGCCCAGTGGTCGCTCAGTGGTTTTTCAGCGGTCGCAGCTTGTAGTGGGAGAATTGGATGTAAATGAAAACTAATGGAATCAATGTCTTCGTTACCTTCTCACAGTAATGAAAGACGCTCGCAAAAAGTTCCGGTCCTGGAGGACAAATCAAATTAGCCGGGTTTATCGATTTGATGAAGCGGAGATGGAGCGGAAGTGGTGCCGTGACATGGAAGCGGTGGAGACTCGCCATCAATCTTGAAGCATTGGAGACTAGTCTAAAGATTGTAAAGTCGACGAGTACAGGATCTAGGATATCTCTCGACGTCTCAATCTGATGCACAAATCTGCCTGATTCTCCACATCCATAAAATCAGTTGCATCCCCTTTTTACTACAGGTTGTGACCGATAATCATGACCGACTCAAAATTTGATCGCTTAACGAATTTTCTGGGTTAAGAACTTTTTTTTAAGTTTTGTGGGTTTTGTTCTTTTACTTCGAGCAACATGTTCAAATTGTAAAAGCAAGGCTCACACAAATTGAATATTCATGACCATGTCGGATATTATGTACATCATATCGCTCTTTAATTATCTACTGATAAGCGGATGTGATGTCGTGACATGGAAGCGGTGGAGAGTCCTCATCAATCTTGAAGCATTGGAGACTGAAGCCGACCAGTGCAGGAAAAGTCTCAATTTTTTTTTCTACCGATAAAAGCTTTGACCCCCCCCCCTCCTTTTCAGAGGCTTCCAGTGATGATTTGGTAGATAGCTTAACATATTTTCTATGTGAAGAACCAAAAAAAAGTTTTGTGGATTTTGCTCCTTTACTTGAACATTAAGCACCGTGTTCAAAAGGGCTCACACTAATCCCTGACCGTATCGGATATTATGTACATCATATTGCTCTTTAATTATCTTATGATAAGCGGATGTGATTCCGTGACATGGAATCGGTGGAGAGTCATCATCAATCTTCACGACTTGGAGACTGAAGCTCGAGACGACGTCTTGATCTCAATCCGGAGGTGCAAATCTTCACTAGATGCTGTGTCCGATGAACGACCAGAAATTTGACAGATCACTCATGAATTTCCTAGATGAAGAACAATTGACTTTTGATACAGTTTTGTGGACTTTGTTGTTTGACTTAAACATTGTAAATGCAAGGCTCACACAGGTATTGCTCACATCATATTTCTCTTTAATTACTTTTACCATGTAACATGTGTGTTTAACTTGTTTCAATTAAGGCGCTAACATAGTTGTAAAAATGTAAGATTTGTTACATTAGCATTACCTCTCACCATGAAATTTCAGTCAAAAATTGGTGAGTGTTTCTGCCAGGACAGTCATGAGAGAGAATAAGAGGGGGGGCTGAACTTTTTTGTTCAAAATTGTTAAATACTTACTACTACTACTCATCTTCTGTGTTAGGACAAAGCTTACATTTTACAACTATGGCTTAAACCAACACAGATGAGCTTTCATCCGAAAAACGTTAACAGTATGCATATTTGGTTCCAATTCATCCAAGCGCTACGGAGATTTGTGTTACTAAGCCGGTGAGGAGGTGTAATAGCTGTAGAGGGTGCCTTTAATTGGATTGCAGAAGGGAAGCTATGGACCGACCGACATTCTGTAATCCACGGACCCAAATTGCGGGATAACTTTTCGTGTCCCGAATATGAACGTTGGTATATATACAGTGAAGTAAAGTTTGGATAAGGATATCACTTTTCGTGTCCCGAATGCGAACATTGCCATATATACAGAATGATGTAAAGTTTGGATAAGGATATCACTTTTCGTGTCCCGAATGCGAACATTGCCATATATACAGAATGATGTAAAGTTTGGATAAGGATTAACTGGGCGTAGGGTAAGGTCATGCACCAGAAGTAGAAGAACTCTAATGACATTGAAATCTTTCGATGTTGTCAAAGGCCTAGGCCGGCAAGAAAAACTATTGAAAACATTTGGAACCTTCCCCCGAACACCAGCCCACCAAGGTTGGCTAAAGTTAGGGGACCGTCTGACCAGATTTAGGCCACGAATACCTTTCCATACTCATAGAATCGAATTTGAGTTGGTTTTGAGCCAAAGTTGAGCCCAGAGCACTGTTGACCTATTCCCATATTAGGGACTTGAAGCTCAAAATACTAGTACTACTAACGTATAATTGTCTTTTTTTCATTTTGTTACAGTTTCATGCAGGTTTCAAGTGGATACAATACCCTCACTTGTTGCAAAAATATGTATAAAACGAAGATGCTGACTACAAATGGCAACAAACCCGTGGCAATTAACATGGTCGCCGACGTCAGGATACCAAAATCAATAAAACAAATTACAACCCATAGAAATCCCAACTACTATGTAGTCATGCAGCCATGTAAAGTAATTCAATCTCACCCATCCATTTAGATCTAGGCCACAGGCCATTCCTGCTTTGACAAATCGTCCTGGCTCGATCTACAGGCATTAAAAACCGTCGTGAAGGAAGAAGAAAAAGAAAGAACGACTTAGAAGTAAGAGTTTAGCATTCTAGGCGTGTGCGTTCCTGCGTCATTCCGGCCAAATTGAAAATGCGTTGAATTCAGCAGGGCGGTTATATGATGGACTGCGATCAATAGCCCACAGCCGGCAGTTAGTTACTCAGCCCCCATCAGACGTTCCGGCCTCCTCCCGTGAACTGCCTCGGAAAATATGAGCAGGATATATAAGAGCAGCGTTTGCGTCAAAAGTGGAAATGAAAAGGCGGGGGCGAAAGAAATATAGTTTGATGTTATAAATAAATCGATGGCAATTTTCGTCTTGCGCTGATCATGTAGACTTTATTATTGAGTTTATTTACTTCTTTTCAAAAGGTGGAATCGCAGGGACGGCTGGGTCAGGACTTGCCTGCCAAAACTCCTGCCAAGTGCCAAGACAGTTTTATTATTCCAGAACCAGTGTTCTTTTCTTCCAGAACGAATGTTCTTTTTTTCCAGAATGAGGCCTGATGAGGGCCTGTTTATGAGCGTTCCTTTATTCCAGAAGATGTATTCCTTTATTCCTGAACGAGCGTTCTTTTGATTCCAGAACGGGTATTCTCTTTATTCCAGAACCAGAGTTCTTTTCTTCCAGAACGAATGTTCTTTTATTCCAGAACGAGCGTCCCTTTCTTCCATAACGGGTATTCTTTGTATTCCAGAAAAAGTGTTCTTTTATTCCATAACGAGTGTTCTTTTATTCCAGAACGAGTATTCTTTCATTCCAGAACGAGACTCCGTGTTCTTCTATTCCATCACGGGTGTTCTTTTATTCCAGAACGGGTATTCTATTTATTCCAGAACGAGTATTCTTTTATTCCAGAACGAGCGTTTTTTATTCCATACTGGGTATTCCTTTTTATTCCAGAAGTATAAATTCAGCAGTATGAAGTATGAACACCATACTTTCTTGTTGCGTAACATTTGCAAGAAATGTCAGCACGTGATGAGAAAAGGCTAAATCGCATCACGCTACAAATATCCAATTTTCCCTTTGATCATCCAAATCCCCCGTGCCGTTTACTCTGTCCTTTATCAAAGAGGAAATGGATGACTTGGGATTAGTGACTTAAGCCGGAAAGCCTGCCTGAAAAATTCCGGTTCTCTTTCACATGAAGCTCACATAAAGGGAGACGAATGATCCGCCAATTGTGCCTGTTTGGCCTAGGAGCTGTATTTTTTTCTGTCTATTCTGCATATACACTAAGATATGTGATTAAATAAGATCTACACTAGCAATCTGCGTAGACGGGAGTCGTCGTTTGCTTCCTTTATAACAGGAACACAGATGCGTAATTCTTTCCTTGCGCTTGTAATTGAAGAAATCAAGAATAAGTGATTTAAGTGCATATTATTGGCATCTGACTAGGAGGAAGTAAGTTTGTAAAATGCTGGCTTTCTTCAAGACATTATCAGCTGCCATAAGTTATGATGACTTTTATTAATACTTAGATTTAATTCCTTGTTACAGCCTATATAATTCTTTACATTGTTACACAGCGAGCTATCAAATTAACCAGCGGTGGAGAGTCTGTGTGACGACTTTCATGATGTACACTCTGACGCAGTCTTAAATTGATTTGCGGAACGGCAATCTTCCAGCGGACGGTTAGTAGCTATTGTACGCGCAGAAATGCGATTGTAGAGAGAGGATGATGAGATGGTAGTTGCGTGCTGGCGCCGAGGATGTCATGTCTGCCAAATTACCGGACCGTCATCGTCTGCGCTGCTTCGGTTCTAATTTATCGGGGTGAGTTTGAAATCCTTCTCGATCTAAAGGAGAACTGGGGTCACCTACAAGTTCCTTGGCCCTTCTGTACTAAACCAGGAAATCGGACATTTCAGACTTTTTTTCTTAAAAGTAGTATGCAATCCTGAGCTTCCTGAATTCCCCCATGTCGACCCCTAATACCGGCTGACTCGCGGTCAGATTCTGAGACTTTCAACCCTTATCAGTTTGCCTGTCAATCTTTCCCCACGTGCTATCAAACTGCTCTGTCCGGACAAACATACACACAAATCCACAGACAACTCAAAACAATATTTCCGTATCCGGACGCGATGTTAACATGAATTAGCCCTATTGATAGAAAACATGCATTTTAATGTGTATATAATTCGTGTTATTTAGTTTGTTCGCACGTGGAATACCAAGTAGATGATTTCTTTGTCGGCACGAATAACCAGGCAATTATACATCACTGATTCAATATCTTAATAGGACCGCTCCCTTTGGGCTTAGGGTGCAAAAACATTACAACCTCTCACCTCCTCAGAGGCACAATCATCAGCGCTGAGAATTAGGTCGTGTCCGTGTATCCAGTTCTGATGGGTTCTTCAGTGACACAGATAACATGGTATATTCCTCAGGCGAATATGAGATAGCGGGGTCGGCTGATTCGAAATAGAACAGAGGGATTCGACGTGTTCGAAATAGAACAGGTGGTTCGACTCGCATTCGAAATAGAACAGAGGGTTCGACGTGTTCGATCAGGGACGTTCTATTGGCGATAGATGTCTTTTTGTAGCAGTGAACCGGTAGAAATAATGGTCGAGTCCACGTATCGGATTCTGATGGGTTCTCCAGTGACACAGATAACATGGTATATTCCTCAGGCGCGTATGAGATAGCGGGGGCGGGTAGATTGTACGAGATTATTAGGTCAAGGTTAAGATGCGGGCATCAGTTATAACTTATTTACTTCTCTGTTCTTGAAAATATGGTATCTGTATCTTTAAAGCTGGTATAACCCCGCCGTTCACAGCGTAACCCCAATTCAGTATCTACATAGCCTGAGCTGTATAAGCTGAGCTGGTATTGATAAATGTCGACAGAAGAGACAGGATCACAAACATTTTATTGTGCTGTTCCAAACCAACCGTAGAAGTAAAATGGACGCCGAGGTGGAATATTTTCTCCATCACTACAAGAACATAACCGAAGGCCCCTCTGCTAGGCGGTCAGACAGAAAATTTGTCCTGCAAATTTTCGGTGAAGTGACAGATCTGGTCATCATGAATGGGTGAACCTCTCTGCAAAGTGACTCCACTTTTTGTTGAAATATATAAGGCAAAATAATGAAGACAGAATCGCGTTCTTGCATGGGACCGTTCCTGATCGAACACCACACACGCCCATGCCCCTGACGGAAGTGTTCGAAATAGAACAGAACAGGGGGTTCGACGTGTTCCAAATACGGTTCAACGTGTTCGAAATTAGAACAGGCGGTTCGACGTGTTCGAAATAGCACGGGCGGTTCGACGTGTTCGAAATAGCACGGGCGGTTCGACGTGTTCGATCAGGAACGGCCTATTGGCGGTAAAAGTTGCTGTCGTTTTGTAGCAGTGAATCGGTAGAACTTTCGGCGTATCCAGGGAGTGGCTATTCCACATCGATCGAGAAATCTAATCAAACCGAAGTCTTTCATATCTTACTCCAGGCGTCGCCGTCTATATCTATCTTACGTGACAGTGTGTGACCCTATTAACTGTTTATTATGTACAATTCTGACGATTCTACGTTCGGTTCTGAACAACTAAGTTCTTAACGTACAACCACTTGTTTAACAAGAGCCGGCGTTTCGATGACCGCCTGTCATGTTCATAACGGCAATGATCAAAATGTCAGCTCTTTTGAAACAAGTGGTTGTAAAGAACTTTGCTATTCAATCATTCAAGTATGAACGCTACTCTACGGTTCCTATCAAAACCAATGGATGTACAATTCGAAACAGCACCAATCGAATGTGGGGAAACAAACCCCAAACAACAAAATCTAGCACCACAAGTACTCACCAAGTATCACTTGGAATTTCACAAGAAATGTGTCAAAAATGAGCTACTAGTCTATTTTCAACAAAATGGTGTCGAAATAAATATTATCCTGGAATTTACATCGCCTATCCTTCCGCCGATGCAGCGAAATTGTAACCATTCAATATTTCACAACAAAAAATACACGTGGTCTCTTTTTACAAAAACATTGGCGTTCGCTACCCCCAAAATCTGGGTATATTCGATACTTCGCTCCCTCAGCCAATAGAGCACGTCGGCAGAACGTACTGCACCTGCGCGAAACCCGTAATGTATTGTACATAGCACTTCGGCAGAACATCTCACATAAGGTCGTATTCGCGCACATAAGGTTATCATTCCGACAGTAGTTTCCAAATGTTATGTTGGAAAAGATATCGTCTGCAACAGGCAAAATTCTGATGCAACGTTAACCAAAAATCCAACGAAAACCTCGAAAATTCAGGGTTCTGCGCAGGCGAAGTACATTCTGCCGATGTGCTAGCCAATAGACGAGAATCTGCGAGAATCCACGAGAGTTGTTATTCCACCTCCACCAGCGCGCTGAAGCCTCGCCGTTGCACCGTCCCGTCCGACTGGAATTTTACCCATAATTCATCGCCTTCTGACGTCACGATCGTCGGAGGAAGCTTACTGCCACAGAACCTTGAAGTAAGAAAAAAGAGGCTTGTTAATATATTTCAATAAAAAGCCACATTCGAAGATAATCCAATCAAATATTACGGGAGGGGATACTTGGGTGATATTTCATTTTGACCTTAAGTGCATGTATATAAAAGGTAGAAAATGCAATGAGTGAAGGTCGAACCTATGGGTCAGAGATCATCACCATGGTAATGACATGTCGTCTGCGACGGACAGTAAAGAGACAAGAAAAGGTTGCCCAATAAGTCAGTGACCTTGCTATCTTGCTCCGTGATAACTATTGTAAGAAGTGACAGTGTTTGTTTGTTTGCTTGTTTGTTTGTTTGTTAAATTGAAGTTTAAGAAAAAGTTTCCCCACCTGCTGATGAGCCTGTGGCTCTGTCTGCTTGTCTTTATAATGGCCAGGTAATCAAACGTTTGTTTGCTTGTTTATTTGTTTATTTGTGTACTTGTTTATATTCTATGCAGTAGTAACAAAGTTTCCCCACCTGCCGATGAGCCTGTGACTCTGTCTGCTGGTCTCCATGATGGCCAGGTAGTCGAACGTACAGTCCTCCTGATTCTCCACCTCGAAGGCGCGGAACCGCAGCCTGACGTGCCGGCCTCGCCTGTTCACAATCCGCCAGACGCAGTCCACACGGTTCGGGTAGTGGTCGGGGAACCCTGGCGACTGTAGGATGGTCTTTCCTCCTGTAATAATAAGGGTAGAAGTGTTTAAAGTGTGCGCTATGTGTAAGTGTGTATACCTTATGTTTGAGATTTAAAGGAGACTGACGGAGTCCACACGGGTCGGGTAGTGGTCGGGGAAACCTGGCGACTGCAGGATGGTCTTTCCTCCTGTAACAACATAGTTAAACGTAGTAAAACGTTAAACTTTATTCCAACACACTATTTACAGGGATCAAATTTTCAGCGACTACTGTCGCCTTCATCAGGATAATTAATGACCAATCACTTCACAACGTGATCTCGCGAGAGTTACGGTTTACAGTTAGTGATTGGTCATTAATTATCCTGATGAAGGCGACAGTAGTCGCTGAAAATTTGATCCCTGTAAATAGTGTGTTGGAATAAAGTTTAACGTTTTACTATGATTACTACCAACACAGATGAACTTTCATGATAATAGTTAAACGTGTTTAAGTGTGCGCTATGTGTAAGTGTATGTGCCTTATGTTTAGGTTCTTAAGGAGCCTGACGAAGCCATGCACAGTCCACACGGTTCGGGTAGTGGTCGGGGAAACCTGGCGACTGTAGGATGGTCTTTCCTCCTGTAACAACATAGTTAAACGTAGTAAAACGTTAAACTAACGTAATAACAAGGGTAAGTGTTTAAAGTGTGCGCTATGTGTTAGGGTATGTACCTTATGTTTGGGATCTACATGTAAAGGAGGCTGACGGAGCCAGACACAGTCCACACGGTTCGGGTAGTGGTCGGGGAAACCTGGCGACTGCAGGATGGTCTTTCCTCCTGTAAAACAGGGTTAAACGTGTTTAAAGTGCGCGCTATGTGTAGGTGTGTGTAGCTTATGTTTGGGCTGTAAAGGAGACTGGTGGAGCCAGACGCAGTCCACACCGTTCGGGTAGTGGTTGGGGAAACCTGGCGAAAAGTGTTTAAAGTGTGCGCTATGTGTTAGTGTATGCATCTTATTTTTGGGATCTAAAAGAGACTGACGAAGTCAGAATGTCCTTAGAATCCCTGTAGAGTAGTCAAGTACAGAAGACGCCCCCTATCAGGCTGTATCGTGTATGTACAAGTCTAAAAAGACAGTAGCATCTGTCCTTGGTGCTGAAAACGTTATCTAGGAATCTAGGAATAAAAACTTTGGTGCTGCGTAAATGTTGCACATCACGATGTGGATGAGTAGTATATGGGTACATTCTCTGCAACTGACTGATGATGACTGTAGTCTTTACTCATTAGAAAAGAACGTTTCCTCTATGCCCTGAAATAACTGGAACTAAAGCTGGACCGTACCAGTGACGAGTCCTCCGCAGGGGTGTTTCTTCTCCGTGGTGAAGTACTCCACCGTGAACCCTCCCATGTGGGGCGGTGCTGAGCGGAAGTGCACCGTGACGACGTTGGAGTGGGTGCGGTACATGTCGGGCACGTCCCCGGTCCCACACAGTCTCAGCTCCCGGGAGTCCGGGCTGGAGCCCTGCCGTAGCGTCACGTACTCACGGCACACGTCGTTGTCCTCCCACGGATCAAGCGCAATCCTACAGACACAGGACAAAATATACCTTAGATAATATTAACAGTAGTACAGTGTCTAACCTACGGTATGTGCAGTATATACACAGGGCGAAAACACACAAGTCTTTTTGGCAAGTACTACGAACAGTGGGTTACTTCTACATATAGTTCAGAGGACTTCTAACCTTTTTTCCGTCTAGGAGCAGCTAGGTTTACTAACTACTGAATCACGCGCACTACAGAAGATGTAGAGTCCTCATATAGTACTGTACGATTTCTCTCTCTCTCTCTCTCTCTCTCTCTCACACACACACACACACTCTCTCTCTCTCTCTCTCTCTCTCTCTCTCTCTCTCTCTCTCTCTCTCTCCCCTCACTCTCATTCTCTCCCACACTTACTCTTTCTCTGGACACTCTTTCCCTTTCTTAAGTTACAACTCTCAACTGAGGTGCCTTGAAATATGCCTTAACGCGTTCTGTTACGATTTCCCCACCTGAGTGACAACTGTAGATCTTCCTCCACGATGATTTCCCAGATACAGTCCAGGTCGTACGGGTTTTCTACCGGCAGCTCCGGAGACTTGAAGGACGCCTCCAGGTCAGTCAGGTTTCCGCCGCACCCGGGGATTTCTGTAAGACAATCCCAAGACGTTAATATGTTTAAAGGCAAAACTTTTGTTCCAACACAAAAGGGAAAATCTCACCTAGAGCTTTCAACCAGCCACTCTGTTCTTCCGCAGTAGACTGACCTAGTAAGACTTGTCACATAATATCTGTGAAGTGTAACGTTATTCTTTTTATTCTTACTCAAACACATTCATATATGTCGTGAATTGCCCCCCCCCCTCCAACTCTGCCCTGCCACTTACTACATAATGTAATCCAATACCAAAGGGTGTCTGCCACAGCACCTGTTACCATGGTGCTGTACATTGGATCTAAAAACGTTTGGGCACGGCGAAGTGTAGACAGTTGAACCGTGTACACAACAGCTATTAGCATAGAGTAGCCCTCAGATGATCCATGTCATTGACCTCATTTGTTTAAAACAAAAAAAAAGAAGAAACGGAGCAAAAACTTTAAAAATACAGTAAAAAAATCGTACGTACTTTCGCACCTCTTGCCGTCCATGGCCAGCACGTACCCGGCATGACAGGAGCAGCGGTACCCGCCCACCGTGTTCAGGCAGCGGTGCTCGCACTGGATCAGGTCTACCTCAGCACACTCGTTATTATCTGTGAAGAATTTGCTAACCTTAGTATTTTACTTGCAATGCCTGTCCTTGGTGCTGAAAATATAATCTTTGTCTATGTTACCCTGCATGACAGGAGCAGCGGTACCCGCCCACCGTGTTCAGGCAGCGGTGCTCGCACTGGATCAGGTCTACCTCAGCACACTCGTTATTATCTGAGAGGTACAGATCGTAATACTTCTGCAATGTTGTATTTACTTTTTATTTCACAAAATTATACCTATATTCCAACATTTTATGACTAGACATCGTGTAAAGTTCCTTTCCCAAGGGCACAAGATCGGTGGTATGTCAGGACCCGAATACGGGACCTCATGGCTCCGAGTCGATACACCATACGACCCCACCCTAAATTGTTACTACACATTCAGTCACTTAAAAGGTAATACGTCCTTTATGAGTCCTTTTTGACCACCTAAAGTTTTCCTGTAACTGTGCGAGCCAAGATTCTTCACCATCCTTCACACCAATTTAATGCCTGTCCTTGGTGCTGAAAAGGTATTCAGCGTCTAATCTATGTAGCGGTTTTTAAAGATAAAAGCTACATTCATCATCATCTGGTCGTGAGAGTTTCACGGATGCTTGTGACTCTCTTCCGCCAGCCCTCCCTATCCTCCATGGCCCTGGGCAGGTCTTCCTACATTATTTTGGACGTTTGGCCGACTAATGATCCTTGTTTCAGTTAACAAACAAAAGCTGGACCACACTTAGCACGTATGTACTTACCGTAGCACGTGCTCTTGTTGTGTGCCAGTGTGAAGCCCTGTGGACAGTCACAGTGATACCCGCCCTCCGTGTTCACACACAGGTGAGAACACCCGCCATTGTTGTCGCTCGTCAGACACTCGTCTATGTCTGCAAACACAAGCGAACTTCAGATCAGTAAAATCAAGAACACGTAAGGACTTAGATTGTAATATGTAATATGTAATATGTAGTAGCACTTGTCACCCAAGTAATGTAAAGTAAAGGTACTATGGCCTTTGGAGGCCCTAGGGGCAGTGGATTGTCAATCCACTGAGTCTAGAGCAAGATATTGAAAGGAAGAGCCATTCTCTATCCTCCATCGCCTTTACTCTACTAGCTATTGTGTATACGGTTCAACTGTCTGAACTTTAAAGGCACTTTACACGACTTTCCTCACTTTACTCAGATGTAATTGAGTATTGCATCCTCTTTGTTGGTGGCGGCATAAAAGTAAGTTTCAAAATGTGTGCCGTCACTGCGTCTTGTCGTTACACGTTTGAATGTAAAATAATTTCAAAATACACTATATACCGATATACTGTGCATTTTCTACCCAATAAGAAGTTGAGCGTACATTACCTACACAGCTAGTCCCGTCCGGAGCTATCTCGTACCCGTAAGAGCAGCCGCATGCGTACCCTCCGTCCAGGTTCAGACACGCCTCCTGACATCCGCCGTTATCACTCATACACTCGTCTATGTCTGGGGAAGGGCAAGGAATTATCTATCAATGGTGTAAAGTAAAGCCCCATGTGCCGAATTTCTAAAGGTCAGGTTTTAAGACTGCTGAGGTGACTTAAACTATCTATACTTAAGGCTATTTCTTGATTGTTCTTTCCCAGATAGATTGCTTAGACTTAGTTGTATGTATTACTACGCAATTTACGTATTAAGCTGGTCAGTCATTACGTTTATCATAAAGAGTCTCCCCATAGTCTCTGTTTAGAGGTATTTAGTTAGCCTCTACCAGGCTTCAGATAGGCTCAAACATGCTATCTATCACTTTCTTCCAGAGGGGGCTGGAAACCCCTCTGAAACCTAAGAGAGGCTAGTATCTAGTAGCTGCATAACAGTACTTACCGATAGCGGTGTAGGAGGCTGAGAAGGACGCGTGCTGCAGACTGGGGCTGGACTTGAGGATGATCCTGAGCTGAGATCCGGAGGAGATGAGCCCCACCCCCTGGCTGGAGTGGCACAGTCGGTTGATGGTGGTGGAGTCGGTGGAGTTCCCGTCCTGAACCTCCACAAAGTGCAGGTGGCACTGGTCTGACCTGTCGTAACCTGGGGGTAAAAATACAGTACAGACTGTGTTAAGAATGTGATGCACTTTGATTGAGGTGTATTTTCAAAAACCTATCGTAGAGATGAACTCGCAGCCACCAAGTGCAATAGGGGCATTATCACTGGGTACCTTTCAGTTGAATGTGCAAAAGTAAGGTGTAACAGGTCGCTCGGTGTAATATAGCTAGCTGCCGCCGCGCCGCGAGCCTGCCAAGCCCAAGGGTGGTTATACTGGCTATACAGATACCAGTGTTTTGGGGCATTTAAACGTTTAAAGATGGGGGCCTAATACAAAAACTTTCAATTGTTTCTTTTGGACAAGGCCAAACGATACCCAACACCACCAATGGTTTGAAAGATACATTTTCTTCATTTCTTAGGCAATTTTGTTTAAAACCCAACCAACATGACAGAAATGATATGCTTCAATGGGAGCAGAAAATTTCAAATCATTTGAACTTACCTGGAAGTTGGACGTCTTCTATAGTTAGCGCCACATAGTACCCCTCCGGCACGACTATCTGCCATGCGCAGTCGATACCCTGCAGGGACGTCTCGATGTTGGAGGGACTCTTGATGCGGCCCGACGTCTCCGTAAGGGTCCGCTCGCACACTGGGGACGAGAGGTGACAGACGGCAGTTTAGTCACTCATACACACACACTGGGAACGATACCTGACAGACCACACATAAGAACAGATGTCTGTAAAAGCCAAGCAAATAAGAAAAAATAGGGCAACCTCAAAAAATCTTATTTTCCGAAACATTGTGTGGCGGTAGGGCCTTGGCCCAAACCTACAAAAATGGGTGTTTTGGACCAGAGAGTACTTGTTGCCATGGCAACTGTAATTTTTAAAAATGGCTGATTTTCACCTTATGAAGGCATTAGTCTCTCCCAAATAGATGACAGGAAGCATAGCAGTGTGAAATATTTGTGCATTTTTTAATAAAGAGTTAGTGAGAGATATTTCAATGCGAAAACAAACTCGACCTCACTTACCCCCTCCCGGCTCAAAATTGACCAGAAACCCTCTCGACACGCTGTAGTGCGTTGTCCCGTCGACAGGGGGCGCTGGCGGACCGCGGGACACCAGCTGCAGCCACAGGCTCCGCCCGCTGGACGCGATGGAGGTGGGCGTGTCGTTGCCACAGAAACGGCCAATCAGAGGCGCCAGCTCACCCATGCCGTCCCTGATCTCGATGTATTCGTTGCGACATTCGCCGTCTTCGTCGGCACCTGTAAACGTAAGGCAAGTTATAGATGTAGGTATTGTTTCGGGTATGCTTGTTTAAATACAGAAGAGTGATGGGAAGAGGCAAAGATTTTGTAACCGCAGATTGACTCAAGGTCAAGTTGGCAGTTAAAATGGTCTCCTTTCAGGCTGGGAGGAGGCGAATCCACAACAAGCTGTCTGTGTGCAGTGTGTCTGTACTAGTCCCGTTGAAAGTACTAGTATGCTAGACCATCCTTTTGGTTGAACCCATAAATTCCAACACATGGGGTAGTTCTTGCCTAGAGCTTTCGGCCAGTCACTTTGGTCGTCTTCTTCAACAGACTGACCTAGCGAGACTTCACGTTGTTGACGTCACACTTCAGAAAAGCCATGTGACAAGTCTCAGTGGGTCAGACTATTGAAGAAGACTAGAGTGACTGGTCGAAAGCTCCAGATGAGAACGATCGCTTGGGCTGGAGTAAAAGTTTTAACTTTAACCATGTAACTACCAGCACGTAAAGATGAACTTTCAAGACAGTATAAGAAGTGATTTTGGACAAATACTCCGTGTTGAACTTGACCCCTGACCTTGCAGGTCCATGTCAGTGACGTTGAGCGTGAGCGTGTTGCCCTCCTCTGACGTCACTATCCAGGCACAGCCGATGTTGGAGGGCAGCTCGTTCGGGTAGTTCGGGGAGGTGAAGTTCCCGCTGTTCGCAAATATCGTGCCTCCGCAGTCTGTAGAACACAACAAACATTGATAGAAACTGAACAAAACTCTTTCCTGAGAGGGGTGAAGGAGGCTATTTATTACATCAGGGCCCACCACCCTTCACTTGACCGCGAGGGGGGCCGACATCGTCTACCTGATACCTTTGACCCATATAACACCTTGAGGCGGGCCTGTAATAAATAGTTCTACCCTTTTACATTCTAATAAGTATACATAGCTAATATTGTTCCTTGATCCACAGAAATAACCCGATGGGGCCTGTGTAATTCTAAGAAAGATTCTTGCCCACCTGTCCGTCAAGTCTCTAATGGAATAATCTCAGGACAGAGTTACATGAACAAGACCTGATCGTATCACTGTCAGTACATATACAGGAGTGGCCAGGGATGGCCCAAAAAAGACGGTAGTTTATCGTTATGTATGAGGAGAGAGATGGTATCTTACTTAAGTGCTAGTGTCTACATTTAGTAGAGAACGCTTGTGACTGAGGCCTGACCTCCAGCCATCCATAAAGCTTTCAAGGAAACTGCCAGGATGACTCCTGGACCTGGATCTAAGTCCAAATCCTGATCGTTCCCGAAATATAATCCATTTTCCTTAGTTCAAGGTCTGCCCACAAATAGAAACCACTAAAATCAATTTATAAGTTGTTTTAGTTATCCTGTTAACAGACGTAACCCAACCGCCTTGCCCGAGGCAATAGTTTATTCCCGGACCGACATTAAGAAGGGGTCAAGTGCAAAGGTAAGGTCCCAGAGTAGCGCCGAGAGGTGGAAGACTTGGCTCACGTTCAAGATCAGCAGAATAACGGACCTCCCGCTGGCTGTCGGAGTAAAGCTGTACATGTAGTATGATGTACCACAGCCGACGACGTGCCAAGTCGTCTTGCCAAGATGTACCAAGATGCTAATTGGAACACGGAGTTCCAACAGAGCAGCAAACTTGGCCATGACCTTTGCCTCTACTTTTGGCATCTTCATAGACTCATTGAATAGAGGGAAGCATTGTTCTTCGCTCCATGCTTCCCTATGTGCAAGAAGTTATGTTTTCGCCAACTTTTCGTTCACTAATTTGTATCTTCATGGGGACTCCATGACTACTAGTACGGGTTTGAGACACCAAAACCTATTTTGTTTTTGTCGGCGTCCATGGGTGCCACCATGTTGGAATATAACGATGTCGGCCCCCTACATTTAACCGCGACGGGGGCCGACATCGTCTACAAGATACCTTTGACCCAGTGTTAACGTCACACTTCAAAGAAGCCACGTGACAAGCCTCACTTGGTCAGTCTACTGAGGAAGACCAGAGTAACTGGAGGAAAGCTCTTTGTGAGAGAATTTTTTTTGGGTTAGACCAAAAGTTTTAACTTTAAACATGTAACTACCAACACAGATGAACTTTCATGATAACATTATATTACCTGTTACTCTGTGGCACTTGTAGAGCAGGTTCGCCTGCACGATGTCCATCTGACTGAGCGCCGTCCGCTGACCGATCATGACGTTGTTCTGTCTCGGGCTCAAAGTCTCGCGGCCGTTCTTCGTGAAATAACGAGAGCCGTAGTGCATGATGGACATGTAGTCGTACCGCTGGCCCAGGGAGTTGATCTATAATAAAGTGCAAAGAATATTTGAACCCAAGGTTTTGGAAGTTGTGGAAACCTTTTAAAATGTTTGATGTAAGAGGTAACTGATATTCAACATCTTCCTGTTAACAGCGTAAAATCTTATTGCAAATGACATTGTATTTAGCTTCTTTGCTTTGTGTTGTTTGATTTTAAAAATGCACACGGAATTTCTTACTATAGCATTTCTTGCCGTCTAACATTCATCACATATTCATTACTATAGTTTTCAATGTTTTTTTTATCATTTAAATTACAATAATGCAAATAAATACGCAAATAAAGAGTAAAGTCACGATGCGTTCAAATTTTTCAACTACATTGTGTGTATATGTAATGCACTGTGTTGGACTCAAATCTACAAGCTACAAAGCCATATTCCTCAAAGTTAAATTAATACCTGTGTCTTCCAGAGTTTTTCGAAGTTGTGTCTCTCTCCGTCCTTCACGTTCTCGTACAGAATGTCCACAAACTCGTCGCGGTCCGGTCGGCTGTGCTCGTGCCAGAACCCGATCAGGTGCCCGATCTCGTGCAGAACTATCCCGAACATGTCACAACCAGGCCCGACCGACAGCGTCTGTTTCCCGTTCCCAGTACGACCGACAAACGAACAGCATCTGTAGAATGATAAAAATAAAACGTCTTTGTTATAAATTATGATAATTATGAAAATTATGATAGTACGATGCAGCCCCAAACATGTCACAAGCAGGCCCGACCGATAGCGTCTGTTTTCCGTGCCCCGTACGACCGACAAACGAACAGCATCTGTGGAATGATAACAGACACAATCTATGTGTTATAATCAATAGTAAGACAGGTTTATATGTCTGTTCCTTCATGCGAGACCAACCTCGTGCAGTACGGTACCCAATAGGCTCGACGGAAAAGTCTTCTTTCCGTTCAAAGTACAGTTCACAAACGAATGGCACCTAAGGATGACTTTTATGTTTGTTTGTTTGTTTGTTTGTTTGTTGATGTGTTGGCTTCTTTGTTTCTCTTAACCGGTTAACTGCCTGTAGGCATAACATACCAGTTTTGTACAGTACTACAATCTGTGTAAAACCAGACAGTAAGGTCTGATCCACTCACATGGGGAAGGCGTCCTACTGTTTTCTCTCTCCCTCTCTCTCTCTCTCTCTCTCAATCTCACTCACCCTATCTTTCCCTCTCCATCCCCCTCTCTCTACTCTCCTACTATTAGAAAAATGCGTCGATACACAGTAGTGTCCCAGTAGTTTAATTAACGTTATACCACACTTGTTCCCAACAGAACGTTTAATTAACCTTTTTAATTACAGCTGAAAGATTTATGGATCGAGAATACCGAACAGGACAGCCGTCCCCCAACACGTGTGTTCTATTTCCTGTCCACCTTCCTGTAGCAAACCTCTGTCTGGGTTCGGCAGACTCTGGGCAAACTTTCCTACACCAAGTATTTATCTAGCCTCTACCTGGCTTCGGAAGGCGGTTGACAAGAGTAGAAATTGGCTAAATAGAGAGATAACATGCCAGAGGATGCTGGAGAGCATGCTGGAGAGAACAGTTTGCTGCACCAACTCCCCTGTCATGTTATGTATCTCTCTCTATTTGGCCGATTTCTACTGTTCCAACCGCCTCCCGAAGCCTGGTAGAGGCTAAAACGTTCCTACACCACTCATCCAGAATATTGTCTTTTATTTTTCCAACGACAACAAACTGGGGGCTAAAACTGTACTACGATTGTGACCTTTAATAACACCCCAAGCGGGGCGAACGCCCACATGACTTATAAGCGATGACGGCACAGTTGCTACGATATGAGTGAAACCTTGTTTGCGTAGCGCGTGTACAAATGTCAAACAACTTGACAAAGGCCTTCAGGATTTAATTGGGTCATTCTGAATGCGTTAGAAATTGGTCCCCTGCTGTAGTCGTCTGTCGTTTGAGTCTATATGCCAAGTGGCAGGACAAATGTGTAACGCCTACACGGCCTAAGGGACACCGTAACAGGTGGCACATCCTGATTGAAATACTGTTTGTGCGACGCGTGTTCAAACATTGTACAACACAACTAGGTCCTCTGTTCTTCACTGCTTTGGTGACTTTGAATGCGTTTGAAATAGAGTCTATGTTGTCTGAGTCTATATACCTCCTGGCGAGGCTAACGCCTGCACATTGAAATCTTCCGAAAATAGTTCCATCAGGTGGTTAATTATAGGATACAGGAGATTTCTTTCACACAACCAAAATTTATCAACTAAGTGCGCATGCTGACGTTTCGGTGTGTATCAGACACCTTCCTCAGAGCTTCTGACTGGAGTGCTGCTTCATATCGGATACACATAGCGGCGAGAAGCAGAACTCCAGTTATTATAGTAACGCGAATACATCGTCTCGTCTTGATTCCTCATTGGGGTAATTGCCTACGTGTAAGGAGATTTGTTTTCGTGCGTTTGTCTGTTTATTTGCTTGTGTGTCCGTCATCATTGCAATAAAGTAGAGTGACAGAAAGTGCGAGGAGGGAAATGGTGTAACCACAGACTGACTGGAAGGTCGAATTGGAGACCAAACGGTCTCCCAGCTGGCTAGGAGGAGGTATCCTCGAGAAATTTAATAAAACAAGAAATTCTCTACTCTAAATAGTTCGTGGATGTCTGAAATCTTCTAGCCTTACAAATCGGATGGCACCCAGGTTAGATATCTTCGATTGTTTGATCGAAATGTGGTTTAAATGAAGTTTGCGTGACATTTATTTCGTGCAAAGTTGCCCTATTCTGTATTCCCGAACGGCGAGATACACGCCTACACTACAGTGCGTAGGTGAGAGGGAGTGCCTCTGGACCCCACGTACGGAAACAGGTGGTTTGTCATGACTGACATCTCACCGGCACGACACGTGAACAAATAGTGCAAACGTCTCTGAACTGTTTAAACTCACATTAAATATGACAATAACAGCATGTTCTAATTTTCCACCGTCTCAAACGTCATAGATAAAAGAACACACACACAGATCCCAAAATAACGCAGATACGTCACGGTTTTGTACTTGAGCGTCTGTTTCAAGTCAATCAACCCACCATAAAAGAGCGGATTACGTGGAGATTACAAACAATAACAGGTAAAAAGTACTTCCTTTCCTGTTTCGTTTGATTCATTGAAGCGCGTTTAGAACTTAAAGGCTTATCTTAAATCCATCCTAAAAGGCCACGAAGATATTTTAAGCTCCTTAGGTGAAAGTGACTTTCCACTCTACCTGTGCTGTGCTAGGTCTTGAACTTAAAGACTTACCTTAAATCCTTTTTTTTTTCAAATGGCCACTAAGATATTTTAAGCTTCTTTAGTGAGAAAGTGATTTTCAATGTACCTGTAAGGATTTCTTTTCTTCTTAAATCTGACATCAAAAGAAAAGCACCTGTAGGCAATAGTATTCTCTAGCGGACCAACTCCCCTGCATGTTATCTCTCTAATTGGCCAATTTCTACTCTTTCCAGCCGCCTCCCGAAGCCTGGTAGAGGCTACAAGATGGTATCGTCTCTGACTCTGTGCAGCTGAGAACGCAAAACACTCATGATTCCTTGTTGGATCCTTGCCTTCACCGCTAGCCTGGTTACCAAACCTATTATAGCTCCTACATCCTCTCCTCAAATAGGATGATGTAGAACTCGGGAGCTATAATAGGTTTGGTAACCAGGCTACTGGTTTGTATCATCGACTAACCATCTTGAGTTCACGTCTAAGAAGCTCAGTTACCGTGAAACCAAATCTACAGCCGAGTCTTAAGGGAGAGTCAAAACCTCTTAAGCGCCACCTCTGATCCCCCACAGGCCGGAAAACTGATCTTTTGATTGAATTCTTCTCAAACAGCTACAAACAAACGACCTTTTCCGTCAGGTCGGAAGCAGGTTTTTTTAAGAGGGGGCTCGAAATACTGGTTGCATAATGACCCTAATTTTTGACTGTAGGTTCACTGGTGTACCTAGGTATTTGTGTACTACGGTATGTACTACATTTGACATACTACTTGTATAGGTTACGTAAGCACAAGGGTATAATTGACACTAGTATACAGCATATTCTTGACATTCAAAGTCTCATAAAAATACTAAACCTTTCTTATATTACTTGCTGAAAATAAAAGTTAACATATCTATAGAATTTCCTATTCAAGTTCTGGAGAGAGGCAGCACTAGTAAGGTTATGATTAGGCTTGGTCGACATTCTACTTCATGTTGTGTATTCAATTTTTTATGTACCTAGATTTTTAGTCTAAGTGCAGCTATTAAAAGCTATTTCGAGCCCTGAAAGTGTATTGTATAGGGTTCAATCAGTCGTCGCCCGGTGTATAAGGTGTGTAATGAGCCTGTTACACCCATCAGAGACGCCTGTTTGTGTGCCGCCCGGCAGTCAGGCGGCCACGGGTCGCTTTCATCCGGAGTTGTGGGCTAACAAGGCGGGAAAACGTGTTTAGTCTGCGCCTACTGACCTTGTCCGAGGCAAGGGGGACGTTCGAAAGACAAGCGGTCTGACAGGGGGGAGGGGGGCACTGGACGTTTTCTTAAAAAAATGCATAAACGATTCACCTAAGATCGTAAAATGACATTTTCATCCCATGATTGCAGCAGAGGGCCGTACGTGTCAGATAACCTGTGTCGCCCCCCGTCTCTGTTCAGTGTTGGCCCGAGAGGAGTAAAGGAGGCGGCGTACGTTCGGGCCAACCGTCCAACACTGAACAGAGACGGGGGGCGATACAGGTTATCTGACGCGTACGGCTAACACGGCGGGGAAACGTGTTTAGTCTACGCCTACTGACCTTGTCCGAGGCAAGGGGGAAAGCCAGCGGTCTGCCGGTGGGGAGGGGGCACTGGACTTCTTTGCGGTGTGGAAGGGCAAGGGGGAGGGTATTTAACATTTTCTTAAAAACGCCTCAACCGTAAACGTTTGGAATTCTACAAATGACTGCAAAATCACATTTTTACCCCACACTACATAGTCTTGTGTAAGATAAATTAATCAGATCTCTCCCCTCACCTCTCTTTCCCTCATCCCCCCCTTTTCACTCACATCGTCTCTCTCGTCTTTCTCTATCCCCCCTATCTCTCTCCCTCTCCATCTCTCTTTCAATCCTACAGGAAGCCCAAAAGGCCACTTCTTCCTAGACACTTGACCTCAACGTTCTTGATTAGAAATGTCATGACCTTGAATTGAAAGTAATCGCTGCTTAGAAAAGGGTAATTCTGGTCCCTCTTCCTCTCAATTTCCTTCCGTTTTAATCCTATGTTTTGAATGCCCAAAAGACCACTTCTTCCTAAACACTTGACCTCTACGTTCTTGATTCGAAACGACATGACCTTGACAGTAATGGCCGCTCAGACGAGGGTAATTCTGCCGTGTGGTCAAAACAAGCCACGACCTTATCGTGATAGTCGACTTCTCACAGAGTTCATCACGTAAACAGACCATTCTGATGTGTATTTAATACTACGGGTTTGAGTGAAACGTCTATGTCATCTGTAATTATAAATCCCTCGACCTCTCTACCTCTATCTCTCGTATGCCTCTGTGTTCCTCTCTCTCTCTCTCTCTCTCTCTCTCTCTCTCTCTCTCTCCATCTCTTTCAGTACTACAGAAAACGTTGAATGCCCAAAAGACTACTTCTTCCTAAACACTTGACCTCTACGTTCTTGATTCGAAAGGACATGACCTTGACAGTAATGGCCGCTCATACGAGGGTAATTCTGCCGTGTGGTCAAAACAAGCCACGACCTTATCGTGATAGTCGACTTCTCACTGAGTTTATCACGTAAACAGACCATTCTAATATGTATTTGATACTACGGTTTTGAGTGAAACATCTATGTCATCTGTAATTATAAATCCCTCGAGCTCTCTCCCTCTATCTCTCGTTCTCTTCCTCTCCTTGTCTTCCTCTCTCTCTCTCTCCTGTCTTCCTCTCTCTCTCTCTCTTTCTCTCTCTATCTTTCCATCTCTTTCAATCCTATAGGAAGTGTGAAATGCCCAAAAGACCACTTCTTCCTAAACACTTGACCTCTACGTTCTTGATTCGAAACGACATGACCTTGACAGTAATGGCTGCTCAGAAAAGGGTAATTCTACCGTGTGGTCAAAACAAACCACGACCTTATCGTGATAGTTTAGGTCTTAGAGTTTATCACGTAAACAGACAGATTCTTCACAAGGACAGACGACAATGGTTAACACGACATGTGATTGAGACTGACATATTTATCGAGGAAGTCGCCATGATGGTTTCATGAGGTCAGAGGTCATGGCCACAAGTGTAACGTTGCGGTTAAATGGCGGCTTCTGGAAATGATGATGTGATTCAAATAACGCAGTGGCAGATTAAGAAAACACTGTTAACTTTTAATTGAAAACACAGTGTACTTTTGACATACAAGATACTCGTATTTTAGCCTTGCATGCTGTTTAAGTTGTTACTGGACATACAGAACGTTTCGAATTTCAGTTATACGATGTTACATTTACAGGAGAGTGCATCACTTTCTAATGTGCAGCTATGATTCCTTTTTCGAAGACAGGGTTGAGATATTACTTCTGACTGAGCTGTGGGTTTGTGTATCTGTCTGTCCGGGGCAGAGTAGCTTGACAGCGCGTGGGATGGGGGGAGATTGACAGGCAGAATGACAGAAGGCTAAAGCTCTGATCCTTGTTTCATTTTGCTGTCCAGGTAGCCTTTCACTCTCCAAGCAGAGATGTTTTAGGCGTTTAGGCTATTTCATAGAGGTATCTTTTTTTCGTCACTCATCAGCCTTTAGAATACTGCCTTGGGCTTGCCTGTTTGATACTGTCTTGCAGCCACCGAAAGATCTGCTTGAAGATCAGCCTTTTTGTAAGTAGTACTGGTAAGCATTCCATAGCCAGATCCCCATGTTTGTAAGCAGCTGGTCCCGCCATGCAGGAGTCACCGCCCGGCGTCAAAACATGTCAGCCTCGGGTGGGTAATGCAGGCAGACATGTGATATACACACCGACACTCGGACACGGCCGGGGAACGCAGACAGGGCGGTAGTCTGGACGCCAGGTCGTTTCCAGGGCCCACACAGGCTAGCTCCTCGGCTCTAGGGCCTACACAGGCCAGCTCCTCGGCTCCAGGGTCTACACGGGCCAGCTCCTCGGCTCCAGGGCCTACACAGGCCAGCTCCTCGGCTCCAGGGCCTACACAGTCCAGCCCCTCGGCTCCAGGGCCTACACAGGCCAGCCCCTCGGCTCCAGGGCCTACACAGACCAGCCCCTCGGCTCCAGGGCCTACACAGACCAGCTCCCTAGCCCGATGTCCCAGGCTATGCTAGCACCCCTGCCCAGGTCCATACGGCAGCCGTGTATTTTAGTTGACCCGACTGAAGTGTTTATTTGATAGAAGACAGACTAGAGCCTTGCACTGCGTGAAGCCTGTTCTTGCATCATCTGATCCGGTCTGCCGGTAGCCTCGCTCCAAGACTTCGGAGAGGCTATACTTTCTAGGTAGCCAGCTATATACTTTCTAGCGAGCTAGCTCCTATGCTCTAGAGCTAACATGCCCCTTAGCAAATTTTACCAGTCAAATGACTCAAGGAAGCTAGAGAAACACATAATAATATACACAATCGACTAGACTCGTAGTTAGACAACCATTGCGACAGCAAGACGGACATAGCAGTCTTTTGGTCGAGTATTTTGAGGTGTAGGATTTAGGAATCTCGGTGTAGTTTTTCCAGCTGAGGTTTTATGTTTGTCTGTGTGTTTTTTTCTGTCACTCTGTTTCCGTCAGGTCCCTTGAAGGTACCAAAGTCTGACAATGCACAGTTACTGTGCTCTGGTGTTACCTTACGTCAATTGACGATTAGAAACAGTCTTTAAAGGCCAAATGCAGGGTAAGCATTACATTCTGACCAGTTCTTCCTACTGTAAGAATTAGGAGAGTAGAAACAGAAATACACTCCTGGTCCAGGGCTCGAACCCACGACCAAACCCGGGCACCAGTTCACATGCCGACGCTCTAACGATTCGGCTAAAAGGTCTAGACCCATCGGCCGGATGAGTTGGTAGCGCCTATAAAAAAAACCCACTGTTACACTACATCCTACATGGCTTGAGCACCTGGCCGGTCGCCAGCGGCAGTGCAGTCTGACCCTGTCAGTCGCGGTTCGGGGGGAAACCCGGAGAGAGGTCACTACAGGTCAACCGGGATTCCCACAGCTGAGCGGGACGACTGGGTGACGAGCTGGCGGTCTGGAGACATGGGGTGTCCTGGATCTGGGACCGTGTGATCCAGAACCATGACAGATCCTAATCCTAGACACCCAGGCATAGAAATACATAGGCATAGCCTGGGCGCCAAACGAGATACTTTGTGTCCAGTGTGCTATGGATCTAGCACCCAGGCTAACATAGGCACGGTTCTGGATACTACAGCGACTATCCAGAACCATGCCTGCTCTTAGCCCATCAAGGCATTGGAGCTAGACAGGCGCAGTTGTGGATACGAGAGAGACCAGTGAGACTAGTATCCAGAACCGTGCCTGGTCCTAACCCGTCCAGGCATAGAACTAGATAGGATACGGTTCTGGATACGATAGAGACTATCCAGAACCGTGCCTGTTCTTAGCCCTAAAAAAAATAACCCATCAAGTGCAAGTAGACATGCGCGGTTATGGATACGAGAGAGACTACTAGTATCCAGAACCTTGCCTGATCCTAACCCGTCCAGTCATAGAACTAGATAGGCACGGTTCTGCATACTATAGCGACTATCCAGAACCGTAACAGATCCTAATCCTACCCATCCAGTCATAGAACTAGACAGGCGCGGATATGGATACGAGAGGAACTACTAGTATCCAGAACCTTGCCTGATTCTAAGCCGTCCAGGCACAGAACTAGATAGGCACGGTTCTGGATATGATAGAGACTATCCAGGACCGTGACAGATCCTAATCCTAATCCTAACCCATCCAGTCAAAGAACTAGATAGGCATGGTTCTGGATACGATAGAGACTATCCAGAACCGTGCCTAACCCATCCAGGCATAGATAGGCACAGTTCTGAAGACGATAGGTCACATAGGGCATGTTCTGTCCCCCGGGAGCGCGCCCTGGGTGTTCCGCACGCCCTCAGGCCCCGGCTACCCGTCAGGCCGCTGTCAGGCTCCGTAAACAGTTTACCTCTCCGCATTCCGAGATGGGCCGCATGATGGACAGGTCGGTGGCACGGCAGATGAGGCAGAAGAATGTTTGATTGTCTTGGAAGCAGGTTACGCCAAGAGACGCGCATGTAGACATGTGGTGGAAGCGTTAGCGCCTGTGTTACACAATCGTTGGCTGTCGGGCTGATGGCCAGATTGGGTCTTCTTTACTAATAGTCTCTATCGGGCCTCCTCAGAGGCGGCTAAAAAGTTGGTAGCCTCTATCAGGCAGATGATGGAAAAGAATGTTTGATTGTCTTGGAAGCAGGTTAGAAGCCAAGAGACGTACGCCTACATGTGGTGGAAGCGTTAGCGCCTGTGTTATACACAATCTCTCGCTGTCGGACGGATTGGGCCTTCTCCCAACTAGCCTCACCCAGGGCGCGGTCCCGGGGGATAGAACATGCCCTGCATGACCTATCGTTTCCAGATCCGTGCCTATCTAGTTCTATGCATGGATGGGTTTATAATAGGGCCATTTCATCAAGAACCGCGCCTATTATGAATGTGGATCAGGTACAGTTCTGGATAGTCTCTATCGTATCCAGAACCGCGCCTGAGATTGGGGCCTTAGAATCCTGCTGGTAGCTGATATTGACTGAGACCGCGTCTAACCTGTCCCTGCCCAACTTGTAGACCAGATCTGGACATCTGGACCAGTGGCTACTCCAAGATCAACACAAACGTTCGCGTCTTTAGCGGTGACGCGCGGAGCTGAGAAGAATTCCAAGGTTAGACAAAGAGTTGTTCTTCATCGCAAAACGTCGAGATTCCACAACTCTTCTCGACTAAGCCTCTCGACGTCCCCATAGTTTTGCCTAGTCGTCACCGTAACGACACTGGATGCGCTGTACTTGCGATTTTAAGCTCTGAACCCCCTCGAGAAATGTTAGTCTATCGATGTGAACTTTCTTTTCATGTCTTTATTCTATTTTGATGTGTCAAGTTGGCAGGAGTGGATTTGTGGAAGCACAGGGACATGTAACCTACCGTAGGTTTGGCCCCCTAGAAGCTAATTTGGAACTGCAGGAGCGTTTTTGTTTAAAACCTTTCACGAGGATAACTCAAGAAGGCCGTTGTCTTACAACCCAACATGTACTAGAAGATTCTTTCAACAGTGACAAGTTTGAAGGGTAAGGAGAGTGAATTCAATTTTCGAAAACGTGACTTACGTTCTGCCTCTCTGGAAGAAGACGTAGTCGAAGTCGTGTTGCATTCTGGGCCGGAATCTCACACAGGTGTTCCTCTGCCAGTGTGTCATGGCGGACTGGATCACGGAACGGCTCTCATCTGGGGAGGAAAAAGAAAGTATGATATAGTATCCAGATCCGTGCTATAGCCAACCTTGCTAGCGACAAAGGGAAGTGGAGGGCTCTTGCAGATGATGATGATGATGACGGTTCTGGATACGCGTGTGGACTATCCAGAACCGTGTCTATCTAATTCTATGTGTTAGGGTTCGGATCAGACACGGTTCTGGTCTCCGCGTACCCAAAAACGTAGAGTTGCCCCCAGACACGGTTCAGGATACGCCTGAACTACTAGTATCCAGAACTGTATCTGAGAATAGTTCTGGGTAAAGCACGGTTCTGGATACAACAATAAACATATAGCTTGGTCAGTGAATGTGTATTTTACGGGATGAATAAACATATCTTTTTTTAAGATTAAGGCGCATTTTGGAGGGAGAAAGACGCGTTCAGGACGCATTCTGTGCGTCTCCAATTCCCCGCCCAATCCAACACGTGCTCTGCTATACTCGTTCTCTTGGTCGCTATTACTGGAAACTATCCCTCAGCTAGCGCAGAAACCTGAACGGCCCTATTTAATAGCGTGTAGCGGCGGTCACGCCGAACCAGGACGGCCGTTCTTAATAGCGTGTAGCAGCGGTCAAAAAGAACTGCTACATGTGCATTACCTCAGTCCGCCATACATTGTTTCTATTTAACGCTATAGCCAGTTTTTCAACTGTCTAACATGGGAAAAGCCTGCCAAACTGAATACTAAGTAGTCGCTAAAATACTATACAGAACAAGTGGAAATGCCGACAGTCTGACTTCCCCCTAGTCCATGGCTGCCGTTAGCTTCCATAGCATGCCAAAAACTGGGGTTTTGGGGGGATCTTCAGGGTCTTCGGGAGCTTTTGTGCTACTTTCTGATTGCATATAGACAATATAGCTGACCTGGTTGAATTACCCCCGTTTTAAGAACTGGGCTAATCAGAAAACAGCCGGAAGACCACAAAACCCCCAGTTCTATAAGCCTGCTACGGAGGCTAATCAGAAAACAGCCGAAGACCACCAAAACCCCAGTCCAGTTCTATAAGCCTGCTACGGAGGCTAATCAGAAAACAGCCGAAGACCACCAAACCCCTAGTTCTATAAGTCTGCTACGGAGGCTAATTAGAAAACAGCCGAAGACCACCAAACCCCCAGTTCTATAAGCCTGCTACGGAGGCTAATTAGAAAATAGCCGAAGACCACCAAACCCCCAGTTCTATAAGCCTGCTACGGAGGCTAATCAGAAAACAGCCGAAGACCACCAAACCCCCAGTTCTATAAGCCTGCTACGGAGGCTAGGCTGCCGTGACCTTTGTAATGACGGTTTTACGAGCCGTTCTACGCGTGGAATGGCGGGAATGTGGAGAGGCTCAACACCGGCCTGCCTTCCCCGCGCTCACGGGCTCAACAATTTACACAGCCGACCTCCCTTCACAAGGCGCTGAGAGAAAAACCGGCTCCGGTTCCACTTTCTTTCAACCGCCACCGGGAATGCTACTGCTTCTGCACTTAAACATCGATTTGGTTCGGTCATTTTAACGTTTTGGGTCTATTGTGACTGAAACTGAGTGTTTTAGATAAAGCTGTTCTGTTTCTGTTCATTAAATAGTTTTGAAAATAGGGTCTTGTCTTTTGTCTGTCTGTCTGTCTGTCTGTATGCCTGTCTGTCTGTGTGTGTGTCAGTCTGTCTGTGTGCCTGGCTTTGTATGTGTTTCCGCAGATTTGGGGCCATCTTAATGCTTTGGGTCTAAGACATAAGCGTTTCTGATAAAGCTGTTTTGTCTGGAGGGTACAGTTTGCCGCACAATGTACTCTCCAGTACACCAACTCCCGTCATCCTATCTCTCTACTTGGCCGATTTCTACTGTTTCAAGCCGCCTCCCGAAGCCTGGTAGAGGCTAGCGCAGTCCTACCGATCTCCTGTCTTTTCCCAAATACGATTACCGACCCGGTAACTCAAGTCCAATGTCACCAAACACGGCGGGATCGCCTGACGCCCGGCATGCGGGGTTCAGACGCCCGTGGGTTGGGAGGCTTACACCCCGGCTGCGTCTGCCGACCTCTCCTGAGCTCGGGAGCAGATGGATATCCTGCTATCTTTATCGGGATTTAAGAATCCATTTAAAGGCACGTCACCGAGACGTCATTTTTGTAAGACTGTATATTGGACAAAACGAGGCAAAACAAATGCAGCAACATGATTAGCGGTCGACGTTTCTCGTAGCTGAACACCGATTCACAATTCTCTAAGCAGAAGTTGATTGGGAAGATTGCGGCGTTTGCCTATGTATCGTTTTCTCTTAGAGCCATTCCGTCGGTCTACAAAAAAGCCTAAGTAGCTTGCCATGGTCCGGAGGCTTTTGTCTTATAGGATGGAACAAATCAAGAAGTTTTACGTTTGATATTTGTCTCATTCCGTCAGTCGGGACAATTAGACTGTGCCGTAAGACATATTGTACAGTCTAATTGTTCCGATTGATGGAATGAGACAATGCTGAACCTGCTTGAGTAGTGTTGACCCCCGTGTTGACTGTGTGTGCTGTAGCACGTGTCTGTATGTTCACGGCCCACTGCGCACGTCGTTGTCAGCGGGCTTTAGATTCCTGTACCCTTTTATTTGGCGAAGGATGCAGACAGGCGAGGAATTGTCTATGTTGGAGTGGATAGAAGTGACTAATGGTAAACAAGCCGGACAAAGGGGTCTGAGAGGAAGGAATAGTACATATCTGGCTTATATAGGTCAGACACTGTGATACATTATCTGATCAGAGTCAAGTGGTCCACGTAAAAGTCCAGTACATTTCGTCTCTTCGCGGCCACCTCCCGAGGCCTGGTAGAGGCTAGAATGTCAAGGCTAGAATGTCACTGGCCTCTACCAGTCTATATGTTGATGGTATCCCCAAAACTGACTTTTAGTAGCCCTAGGAGGAGCATTAACCAGTTCTGACGTGAGCTGAACGGGAGTCTATATTGGCCTCATGTAACCATTGGCTAGAGGCGACCAATATAGAATAGACTCCCTTGTCCCACAGAATCTGCTTGGAGATGACATCCCTAATATTGACTTTCAGTAGCCCTCGGAGCATTAAACCCTTTGTTATTGTAAGATGATCGCGCGACGATCGTATACGACGGATGCAACCGTGTGACTGTCCCTATGGATGTCACTAGCCTCCACAAGTCCATATCGAAAGACAATTGTTGTATTAATCTCAATCTCAATGTCATGTTGTACGTCGTGGCATCCCCAAAACTGACTTTCAGTAGCCATAAGAGGAGCATTAACCCGATGTGACGTGAGTTGAACGCACCCCAGGCTACTGTTCCAGTTTTCATTTCCCTGCAAACAAACCCGGTAGTACCTCTGGAGGCGAGACGTATATAAAACCTTCAGTTTTCGGTCGTGCGACAATCGTGCGATGGTCGTACAACGAATGTGACCAAGCCCTGGATGGAATGGATGTCATTAGCCTCTACCAGGCTTCGGGAGATGACTGAAAAGAGTGGAAATTGGCCAAATTGAGAGGGATAACATGCCGGGAGGCCGCCATGTTACTCAGTATCCCTCTATTTGGTACATTTCTTCTCTTTCCAGTCACTAGCCTCCTCCAGTCTGTATGTGGATGGAAACCATAAAACTGCTTTAAAGTAGCCCCAGGAGGAGCATTAACCTGATCTGACGTGGGTTGAACGGACCCCAGGCTACTGTTCCAGTTTTCATTTCCCTGCAAACAAACCTTACCTCTGGGAGCGACAGTACAGTATAAAACCTTCAGTTTTCGGTCGTGCGACAATCGTGCGATGATCGTACAACGAATGTGACCAAGCCCTGGATGGAATGGATGTCATTAGCCTCTACCAGGCTTCGGGAGGCCACTGGAAAGAGTGGAAATCGGCCAAATTGAGAGAGATAACATGCCGGGAGGCCGCCATGTTCTATTTGATACATTTCTTCTCTTTCCAGTCACTAGCCTTCACCAGTCTGTATGTGGATGGAAACCATTTAAAAACTGCTTTAAAGTAGCCCCAGGAGGAGCATTAACCCGATGTGACGTGAGTTGAACGGACCCCAGGCTACTGTTCCAGTTTTCATTTCCCTGCAAACAAACCTCACCTCAGGGAGCGACAGTACAGTATAAAACTCGGAAGTCCAACAGGCGGCGGAAGCGAGGAGATTTATTTGCAGGTCTGTCTGGAGGCGCGCGCGTGTGTTTTAGAGGAGACATTTCCCTTGAGCTGAGGATAAATTGTAGGGACTTCTGGCTCTTTGGTTAGCGACTCCTGGATAGCCTCTACCAGGCTTCGGGAGGCGACTGGAAAGAGTAGAAATTGGCCAGATAGAGGGATAACATGCCGAGGGTGTTGGATCGATAGAGAGCACAGTAACTGTTACTCTCTAGCGGACTAACTCCCCTGGCATGGCATATCTCTCTATTTGGCCGATTTCTACTCTTCCCGAAGCCTGGTAGAGGCTTGAGAAGCACGCGTGTGTGTTAGAGGAGACATTTCCCTTGAGCCGAGGATAAATTGTCACAAGTAACTCCTGACCTCTCTGTGTAGCCTCTACCAGGCACCGAGGATCGCTGGAAAAAAAAGGAGAAATTGGCCGAAATAGAGGAATAATATACCAGGGGAGGTAGCCGGCCAGAGAAGACCCAATACGCGACCCCTGGTATATTATTCCTTTATTTCGGCCAATTTCTACTATTTATCCAGCGATCCGCGGTGCCTGGTAGAGGCTATGTCTGTGAAGAAAGACTACATTTTGTTTTTCACGTCATGGGGTGGCTTACTGTCAATGTCATAGCCTCTACCAGGCTTCGGAAGGCGGTCCTCTAGACAGTACAGCGTCTAAGACTAGTAAGAGTAGACATTCGCCCTCGAGCAGAGGATAAATTGTAGGGACTCCTGGTTTCTGGATATCCTATACCAGGCTTCGGGAGGCGGCTGGTAAGAGTAGAAATTGGCCAAATACTAGTGTGAGTGTGTCCTGTGTTCTCCCTCAGCA